ATATAATATATATATAACTATCTCACTTGAGATTGTATCTGAAATCACCTTAAATTTGTAGAATTATGATGGTATTTGTTTTTGAGTACAGTGATGTTCTCAAAACAAAAATAAATAGTAGGCTGTATCTCCTGGTGAGTTATAGCACTGCTGTGTCCGGTTTTAACTATCTCAGGTATTTTCATATGACATTTGTTCTTCTCTTATCAGGCTTCATTTTCAAAGAGATTCAAACCCAAACACTGTACTTTCCAAGAGAGGTGGAAAACTCAAGTTTGGGTCGGTTTAAAATTTGAAGTGTCTCGTGAAGAAAATCTGTCTTGATTACCCGTACTATTCTCAGCTAAATTCTTTATTCTATGCTCTTACAACAATTATTGACATTATATCCACCTAGCAGAGTCTGTGTTTCTTGATGGCAGGAAAGAGGAGAGTAGCAGCAGGGACCTCTTATTGCTACAATCAAGTTGGATTTTTTTTTTCCCTAACCAAAAATCAGAGTGTTATCAAAACAGATCAGTATGACATAACTTCTGTAACCAGAGCAGAGTCTTATCTATAGATAATCTTCATAACAAGGGGAAGATTGATGGAAAAACTTATTACTTGCTGTCATTACTGACAGTTGATTAATTTGCCAAAGTAAGAAAGAGGTGGAGTTAAATACAAGTAGAGACTCTTGAGAAAGGCATGAGAATGTTTTACAAGCATACAGCAGAGCCTGAATAATTTCATATAAAAAGCAACAAATCATCAAGACCAATTTATAAGAATAAAATATTGTAGAAACAGTGCACGTGGCACCAATAATCTTTTAATGTCTAGTTTAATAACCTGGATCTTAATATAGACTGTAGACTGTAGTGTATTATATCCTAATTTTTTTTAAATTAGTGGCCTAATTTAAAGGCACTAATTTTAGATGGCACCCTGATGGCACAGTGGTTAAGGGCTCAGCTGCTACCCAAAAAGGTCAGCAGTTCGATTCCACCAGCTGCTCTTTGGAAACCCTATGGGGCAGTTCTACTCTGTTCTGTAGGGTCACTATGAGTGGGAATCTACTCAATGGCAACAGGTTTTTTTTTTTTTTTTTTTTAATTTTAGATAGCCAGTAATTAATCCATGGTTCCTGAATATTTATAAGAGAAAAAAAGAAAAAAAAAAGTAGGAGAGAAGTGAAGAAACAAAAGGAATTTCATTAAAAAAAAAAAAAAAAAAAACCCTACATACATGAAGAAAACAAGGTTGTATTAAAATATGGGATGAATTTATGTTGGACTTTAAGAACTTCTTGACCAACAAGTAGGAAGACACTAGGAGAAGCAGCAAACAGGTAGCATCCTGTGAGTAGCCATCTAAGATATGCCACTGGTCTCACCTCTTCAGGAGCAAGGGAGAATGAAGAAAACAAGATACAAGGGAAAGATTAGTCCAAAGGACTAATGGACCACAACTACCATCACCTCCACCAGACTGAGTCCAGTACAACTAGATGGTGCCCAGCAACCACCACTGACTGCTCTGACAGGGATCACAACAGAGGGTCCCGGACAGAGCTGGAGAAAAACGTAGAAAAAATTCTAACGCACAAAAAAAGACCAGACTTACTGACATGACAGATACTGGAGAAACCCCGAGAGTATGGCCCCCAGACACCCTTTTAGCTTAGTAATGAAGTCACTCTTGAGGTTTACCCTTCAGCCAAAGATTAGACAGCCCCATAAAACAAAACGAGACTAATGAGGCACAACAGCCCAGGGACAAGGACTAGAAGGCAGGAGGGGACAGGAAAGCTGGTAATAGGGAACCTAAGGTCAAGAAGGGACAGTGTTGACATGTTGTGGGGTTGTTAACCAATGTCATAAAACAATATGTGTACTAACTGTTTAATGTGAAACTATTTGTTCTGTAAACCTTCATCTAAAGTACAATAAAAAAATTAAAATAAAAAACAAACAGGTAGCATCCCTTTGCACAGAGGTCACCAGGTAAATTCATGGTGGTAAAGATAAAAGAGCTAGGTTTCAGAATTTAAGAAATGGCTTTTCACCAAAACTTCTTCTTCCAACCTTTCTGTGCCATAGCCTCCAACAACTCCTTCCAGAGGCTGACAGCTTCTCTCACACGAGCAGCCACATTGTCAGAGGCATAGTGACCATCCTCAATCATCTTCTGGCCAGTTTTCTCTAGCTTTTTGAGTAGGAACTCATTGTCGGCCAATTCCTTTTCAAAGACTAGTTGCTTTTGTACTCGGCTCTTCAAATTCTGTGTATCCTGAGACAAGATAAAATAAATAAATAAATAAAATAAAATAAAACCAAAAACAAAAGGAAATCATTGCTCGAAGAATGAGGACAGAGATTTTGAAGACAGGGTTATTTCTCACTATAAATCTAACTGTATCAAGATTAGGATATGAGACAGGACTGTTCTAGTAAAAGCATGGAACTAGGAATTGCTTGGGAAACTCATACCAACACTCCCTACTTCTAGACACATGGCAGGTATGGCTAATTGATCCCAGCATTTATTTATACTTAGCCTGGTTATGACTGAAGCTTCTTTGGAATATGGCCACTTCAGCTTCAAGACTGTAATTCCATGAAACTAACTCCCAATAAGTATGTCCAGGGCTAGAACACCCTATTTACCTTGTAATCTTCATCATCTGCCAACTTTTTCTTCTTGTTGATCCAATTCTTTAGGTCATCTAAGTCTTGATACAGTTGTTGCAGAAGCAATGAATCCTCTAGCATTTTGCGTCGAGTGGCAGCTCTTTCACGTAGGGCATCCCTCCGAGCCAACAGCTGCAAAAGACCATAAGTAACCTCACTATTAGCAAGACCAAATGTGGACACATGAGCTTTGACACCCATCCTGGTCACCATGACCTCAACACTTTCTTCGACCCCACTTCACAGTCAGACCAGTGAACAACTGGGGCCTTGGGCATACCGTATCCCGTATAGCGGCAATTTTCTCTGAATCATAATGGTCTCTGTCAATCAGTTTCGTTGCTGTCTTGTCTAAGTTCTGAAAAAAAAAAGGAGTAGTTTTCCCTCAGTTATTTGACAACTGTTAGCTTTTATCAGTGAGAATCAATAAGACAGACATATGGATTAACAAAGAACTATAGTAAACTCTGTGTTGACAAAAGATTAATAGTGAAGACTTTGAATTCGATTGTTATTATTGTTGTTGGTGGTGGTGGTGGTTGGTCGTGGTTGTGTGTGTGTGAGTTTAAAGCCAGCACCATCTTAGAAGACAGTGAAAGGTATATAGTATATTGGACTCATGAATTCTTCTTTATAGTACTCTGAGCCCTGCTTATATATTGACCAGCTTTCTGGAACATTGTAACTTAAGGGTCACAGGAAAACTCTTTAGTAGCATTAGAAGAGAAATACAAAGATAATGAAAGGGATAATATTTTATAAAGGAAAATAAATATTACTTAGATATCTAGATATTAATAATGAAGAGAAAACTAAGTCTAGATATTACAGTTATGTTGTTGTTAGGTGCTATTGAGTCAGTTCCAACTCAGAGTGACCCTATGTATGACAGAATGAAACACTGCCAGGTCCTGTACCATCCTCACAATTGTTGCTGTGTTTGAGCCCATTGTTGTAGCCACTGTGTCAATCCATTTTGTTGAGG